GTGCCTGATTTAAAACCAAGCTGCCACCTGAGGGACACACACACCTGTGTGGCCCACGTTCTGTGACTTCTTTGTGAGGGCCACCACTTCTATAGCTACAATGGTGCAAAACACAAATCCATCATGAGGTGGCAATAGAGAATCAAAATGTCACTTCAGAATTCAGAAAACTCGAAAAAAAAAAAAAAAATTCTTTTACACGTGTGAGGACCGGAGCCTGTTGCCAAGCAGATTTGGTGAATTGGACTTTGTCACAAAGCACCAAACCAATGCAGGTTACATCACCAGATTTTTCATAACTGTCCCATCTTACTTTCCTGGTTAACCCAAACCACAGCATTAGAGATGAAGCATGTGGTTTAATTTTGCCAATGTAAAGTGTATTTACATCTATTAAAAATGTATTATAAAATGGTATGCATCTCTGCATTTAAAACTGGGTAGTTTTGCAGACATCTAAACTTTAGGTCACTTGCTAAGTTTGCGTAACACCAGTAACACTGAAAGCAATGTTTGTCAAAGTCCTCTAATCTTGATTTACCTATTTTAATTCACCCACTCCATTGATAGAAGCTTGATAAACACTTAGCACACGAAATTAGTCACAACTGGCTTTATTTGCACAACATTAAAAATGAACTACAACAATTTCCTTTTTTGACATGGAGTTGTGGACATTATTCTTTAAATCTTTCCAGTTGTGACTGCCCAGTGCTGGTTCTGCTTCAAGTGCCTTGAGGCAGACCTCTTTACATAGTGATGCACTGCCCCAGTTGTTGCCACACCGCTGCTTTTTCTGCAGAACTCCACAGCCTGTGCTGGCGTTTGTTTTTGCTGAGTAACTGTAGGTCCACAGCTGAAATAGAAATGACAAATGTGATACATTCTCAATATTGATAAATCCAAAATTTATCTGATCGAATTTGTAATGTGTTGTTAATCCACATCTACTGTAATTAACACTACTCAAGTCTGAGAACTGAGCAGTACCTGTTTTCTCTGTCCTTTTGAGCTTGTGTGATGGTCCTGTAGCTGAGGCCTGTTGAGTCAGCATGTCTGATTCTTCTGCAGCATCACCTCACTATTAACCACGAATCATTGTCTTATCAGATAATGCAATGTTTCATTCCACAGTGCTCCTCGCATGACCCAAAAAAAAAAAAAGTTCATACCGTCTGAAACTTGATTCAGATGCCATCTTTGACCTCTTGCGTTTGGAGGACCCTTAATGAGAAGAAATAACCAGGATGGACATTTTTAGTTATTCTGTCATTTATAGATGGGAAAGAAAGCTGATATTCAAGGTAACAGCTCTGACGGCTTCATACCATAGGAGTCTTGAGCTGGTTCCAAAGACTTCTCACTTTCACTGACTTGAGACTTCTGTACAGCTCTAACTTCAGAAGACAAACCACCTGTTTTGATAAAAAACATTTTGGAAACGTCTCATTTCACATACTAAAGTGGCGAGTAAAACAAAAAAAACACATTAAGTATAAATTGCATTCTATTATGAAATCTATTTTCTACTCACTTTCTATGCCCAAATCAATCTCAAGAGATTTGCCTTTGTAAACCTCAGTTCCATGTTCGCTTGCTCATCTTTGCAACCTGAAGTGTGTTCTCGGTTAGATAGTATTCACGATGAATACGAATATCGCGTCCCATAAAATTGGCAAGTTGATCCAACTCATTTTCTTTCAGGTTCATTATCTGACTAAGTGTAGCCACATGTTTCCTCAGGTGGGTTGACGTGAGTGTTTCAGGCTTTCTTGCCCCACTTGCAGCTGCATAGTTCCTCAAACAGTCTGAACCGCGGAGATGAGAATCAGAATGCTGTCTTGCAAAGACGTGCTCATTACTACCCAAAATGCCATTGTCCTCACCCTTTTGTTCAATGAGGAAATCAAGTGCTTTTGTCATCTCACTGGTACTTTACAGCCTCTCTTCCCTCTTATCACCAACGTGGTAAACTCATGACTCAAATTTTGTTCCAGTTTTGAAATAATGTCCTCATTTGGTTCTGTTCCTATAGGTCAACAAAGGCAATTTTGCTGCCTCACCTTGCCGTCTTCGATTGAAAAGTATGATTTGTGAGAGAAGGCACTCACTGAGAATCTTGTATGCTTTAGGGTTAGGCGCTTCCATGAGTTTCACTTTTGCCTCCTCTGCTGTGGACTTCAATACTTTATGCAGCTTCATCACATCTTCTGAGTGGGATCAATGGGATTCAACTTCTGACTCAAACATTGTTCCGTGACACCATTTCTCATGTTTCCATAGTTCATCTTTTATGAAGAACCCATAGCAAATGTTGCATGGCAAATAATCTTCTGCATTTGCATATTTTGATGGCTGTCTATAGGTTACTATCTTGCCCTCACCCTTCTGCAACACCTCAATGTTATGATAATAATTTCCCTTCCTATGAAGTTGCTCAAATGTTTGGTGACACTTCTTTGATGTTGATGAAAGACACATTGCTAGGGCCACTTCTGTTTCACTGCTGTGTTTCCGCTTCAGATGCCGTGCCATTTTACTTTGTGGTTTTTGCAATATACACAGTAATGACGCTTGTCCCACTTTCTTTTTTGACCCTTGTGGCAGGATCCTCATTGTCGCCACTGTCATCAGGATTCCCATCATTGCTGTTTGTGTTGCAGGGTTCTTCTTCAGATGATGGGATATATTCACTTTCCAGGTTAGGAATGGATTCTGACAGAGAGTTATCTGTGGCACAGTCCTTCTGAAAGAACAAGCAGATTAGAATAGTAGTTATTCAAATAATGAACCTATAAAGTTTTTCAGTTGGGCTGCATTGCTGTAGCCCACAACAAAATAAAAAGCATAAATATATACATACCAATTCCTGTTGTACCTTCCTTTTTCTGTTCATCTGTAAAATTCAGAGTAAATTTGAAACATATTGACAATGTTACAGAAAAACTGTTACAAATAAAGCATACATCAGGTTTATTTTCCTGCATAAAGTTGGCATATCTTCAAAGACAATTTAAATATACAGGGCATGTGATCACATGAGGAAGTCTAGCTGTAAATAAGCACCAGCTTAGGTTTGGTCACCTGCAATATTCAACAACCATCAGGATTTACATTAAAAAAAAAAAAAAAAAAAAAAAAACTAGTTTCATTAATCTTACCTGTGAAGTCCGGTTCTTCTTAGCCATGCTAACACCTGGACAATTTGCAGTTTTTCTTTGTCTAATTCAGCTTTCACAGTTCTCTCCTCATTGTATCTCTCAGCACACCGATTGTGTTACTACCACAGTGTTGAGGCATGCATTTAATGCAACATTAGTTGAAGGTGAGCCTCAAGCTCCAGGTGTTATAAATATTGCTTGATTCCCACCCATTTCTAAGCTTCCCTGTCTGAGCCCTTTAAGACACAGGCAGTATTGCATGAATTCAGCTTAAGCAGTATTTAATCAGAGCATGATACTTTTAAGGCACAAGCTGGCACACATTTCTGACTTCTCTGTATGTGGAAATGTTCTGAAACTTACAGACCATTCTTTAGGATAAAGGAGCCTATCCTAGCATTTTCCTTGTGTGGACCACCCAAAAAGTCCACACAAGAAAGGTGTCCCATCAGGGGTTGGTTTGCACAAGACAAAACCAACCAGCCACCCACCTACAACACTACTGCTTTTACCTACTTTGTGGGGACCAATAGGAAAATGATCACATCTTAATTCAGTATACTTTCAGCAAGAAAAGCCATTCTGGTATCAAAATGTTCAGGTTTTTCAGGACATTATGGCGTATAGTCAAGGTTTTTTACAACTTTCATACTTTTGAAAATATTCAGCATTTATTCTGACAATTTTGCCCCATTCAAATGAATGGGGAAATTCTACTTCAGCATACTTTCAGCTATTAAAGTGTTTAGCTCCTCAAGGACATTCATGATTCTTTTCAGAGTTTTTCTAGACTTCATACCTTTGAAATATTTAGCTTTATTTTGAAACTTTTGCCCCATTCAAAAGAATTGGGAAATTTTTATTTAATACTTTCAGCTATCAGAATGTTCAGCTCTTCAAGGACATTCATGCTTCTATTCAGAACTTTTGTAAATATTTAGCTTTTTTAAAAATCTTGTTCCTTATTCAAATTAATGGGAAAATTCTATTTCAGCATACTTTCAGCTATCAAAATGTTGAGCTCTTCAAGGACATTCATGCTTCTATTCAGAACTTTTGTAAATATTTAGCTTTTTTAAAAATCTTGTTCCTTATTCAAATTAATGGGAAAATTCTATTTCAGCATACTTTCAGCTATCAAAATGTTGAGCTCTTCAAGGACATTCATGCGTCTGTGCAGAATTTTTCTAAACTTCATACTTTTGAAATTTGTAGCTTTATTGTGAAAATCTTGCTCCATTCAAATGATTGGGAAAAAAATTGTACTTCAGCATACCTTCACTTATTTCAGGTATCAAAATGTTCAGCTCTCCCAGGACATTCATGCTTCGACTCAGAATTTTTCTACACTTCTGAAATATTTAGCTTTATTTTGAAAATCTTCCCCCATTCAAAATAATGGGAAAATTGTACTTCAGCATACCTTCAGGTAGATATGCCTTTCAGGTGTCAAAATGTTCAGCATTTTCAGGGCGATCCCTCAGCACATAGAATCCACACGCATTCGACAGGAAATGCATTTCTCTAGTTAGTTTTATTTGGCAGGGAGGGTGGGGGCCCTTATCTGATTAGAGGTCTAAGGCAAGTGGGTTTCTTATGCTGTATAGATTGTAAAGACCCTTGTGGCAAATTTGTGAGATTGGGCTATATAAATAAAATTTGACTCTGATTAGACTGCAACCATCAATAAATGATACATTGAATAAAAACAGAGCACAATGTAAAGAAAACAAGGTTTTAGTAAAGTTAATTAGCTGGAATTTAGAAAAACACTGAACCTGTAAATACGCTGATAAAACATGGGTAAATTAAGGACATCAAATTTAAGTGCTGACTTACCGGATGAGGTAAATTTCTTTGTTCCAAGGATAGACATTAAGCACAGGGCCGATGCCTATCATGTGGTTTTTGTGGTTGTCGGTGTTTTCAATGTACTCATGCTTGATGGGCACATGGGCAAGCAGCTCGAAGCTTTTAGGTGATTGCTGGCATAATTTTTCTGCAGCATAAAACCCATCCACGAGTAGTGTCCTTCCCCCAGTTCCTTCATGCTTGAGGCAGTGGAAAACCTGGATTCTGCAAAAACAATTAGCGGTATGAAGCAAAACAAGGTGACACTAAGCTTAAAAGGTTCTGAGTTTATTTAAAAAAAGGCAAGATCTATATGTGAATTAAAATTGCTTGCTATAATGAAAACCATCTGACTACTCAAAGTAACAGCAGCATGGTTTCTTGGAAGACACTGCTGCTGATTTTTTTTCAAATGCGTCTTCTTCACAAACCAAATTCCACTGCATTGGGGCCGTTTTGAAATCCTATGCTTACCCACATGGTTCCTGAAAGTATGAGGTGTCAGTGTGACGGTCCAGGGCCAACTGGCTGTAAGCAGTGTCTCCCCTGGAAAAATCTGAAGTGAAGCTCCACATTCTTCCGTATGTGGTCTCCCTTGTGAATAAGTAACACAAGTGGATTAGGAATAAGCAAGCAAGGTGGAACATCTACACTGCCAAAGAACACTGCCACCAAACACAAACTGCTAATGCAGGATATGGCATTTGTAGAATAAAGAGTTTCTCCATAGGAATAAACTCTTACCTGATGACACTGACCCTCTGGGTGACTGCCTCTGTGGCCTCAACTGTAGCTGGAACATTGTCAACAAAAGCAATCCCATACAGAAGGTAGTTCTGAAGAAACTTCTTCAGTTCATCATCACAGCTCATAAATGTATCCCATTTGGCTGACTGTATGTTTGCCTTTTTATAGATGTCTGAGTTCCAAAGGATGCGTGGCTGTATGGTGCAGTCTTTTGTTCTTTCGTAGCTGTTCTTGGCTAGCCAGCTAAGACTGTGCTTTGAGACATGACCACCGGGCCCTGGGATACAGACGTGGAAAACATTCCTATTAGTTATACTATAGCTGGGGCATCAGTGTGTGAGTCAACATACAGGATATTGTAAAAATGCTAAATTGATTTGTATAGTTTATGCTCAGTAACACACACACACACTTAATATTTATTATTGGCAAGGTGCAGTAAAGCAGGATTACCATCTAAACAAAACAGCTCCTTAGCCTGAGATACTTTGTTAAATTTTTATTACTTTATGAACTGCAAATTTGTTTAGTAATATGAAGTACTCTAAAAAAACTGAAAAGATGAGGGCCCCCAGCATTTTTGTTAATCTTACAGTTTATCTAATTGCTTATGCACCCTGTGCTCTCGAGAGGCCTTTGGTAAAAATCTTAGAATTTTACACTTTTATAATTTCTATTTGTGTATACATCTTAGCACTCATTTTCTTTTCCTCTCCTGGCTACTGAGAGACCATTTATTCCTCTTACTCAAAACTAAATTAGGCATGGTCTTTATTTTTCTAGCTCCAGCTAGTCTGGGTTTTGTCCTAGTAAAGCTAGTTCACTTCTGCCTGCTAGGGTTTCAGAGCAACAGGAGATGTTGGCTTGAAGGTCTGCTGTGTCCTGTGCAGCATGTGTTATGAAAGGAGAATCCTATAGCTTCTCTCACCTGCAGAACCAATGCAGAAGTTTGAGGAACAATTGCCTGCATTTTGGCTATGACAATACTTTGATGGTGAGAAGGTTTTCTAAAATAAAATGTATTCAGCAGCTTTATTGGAAACAGCACAAGTGAGACTTTGAGTCTTCATTGTGTCCAACTACTGGTAGCTTACAGGCCAACTGTTCTGTCAGTCACTTAAAGATGTTGCAGTTCACTGGTTGCTGATAGAGGCTGGTGTCTAAATTAATGTTACATACTCCTTTTACATCTTTATATCATTTAAAAAAAAAACATCCAGGGTCTTGTGCTATAACCTGACAACACCCAAAAGGACTGACTGATGAGACAGAGGGAACGGACTCCGTCTTTCCACTATAAAACATGATTGTGACAAAGGGAAGAGTCCACTTCACCTCTGCCTGTGTAGAAAACTGCCATGTATAATGATTATGCACTTTAAGTCATTTACAGTTAGTCTTCTTTGTATGTGTTGATGTGAATTGGCAATGAACACTCAAACTTAATAGGACTCAAATAAATTGCACAGTTTAGTGCAAAGGTTTGCATTTCCTTACTGTGAGATGACAAAAGGTAAAATATTTTTTCTCTGCAACATAATAGTTTAATGCCTATTAAGCTAGTGCAAATGTTACTTCATCAACCAAAATCAGAAAACAAAAATAGCAAAATAATATCAGTGCAAAGGTTTGCCTGTCCCTTCATGAAATTATCTCATACTTTGTATGTCCTCTCTGGTCAACTTGGAACAAGTATACTCCATGGAGAATGGGCTAAAACGACACATTGTTATTTTACTACAACTTTCTTTATATGCTCCCTGACCATTTTGTTACTTCTGTTAATGAAGAAGCATTTATACCAGCTGAATGTGCATACGATTTATGCTGAGGAGGAAACAAATTTTGTTTTGCTCTTTTTGCCATTTCAAAGTAAGGGATGCAAACTTTTGCACCCAGCTGTATCTTGTTTGTTATAAAGAAAGATACCCGAGATCTCATACAGAGAATTCCTAGACGACATGTAGTGGTTCACTAAAAGTAAATCATTAAATGTGATTTCAGGCCACATGTGTAAATGCCATTGTTTTAAATCTGTTATGGGTTAGTTTATGTTGTAAAACCTTTTGCCCAACCAATAAAAATCAGTTTTTTAAATGACTCATAATAAATTTGTGTTAATGATTTTACGTAACAAGTGTGATTAGATAACAGTGTAGAACTTGGAGATCTATCAAATTAGTTTTGTCATCAGTCTTGCGTAACTGTCATTGGGATGCATTTACTCTGAATTCTCTGAGGTGCAGGCACTGGAACATGACTGCTGTACTTGACTTACATGTCAGGACGAGGTGACCATCTTCCACCGCTGCTTTGTCAGGACGGATGCTGAGGTCTATACTGCCAGTGTCCACGTTTCTCTGGTTAGTGGCAGCGTTATACGAGGAGGCGGAGTGGCAGTGATCCCGCAGCCACACGTAGTTAAAATACATCGGGGTCACTCCATAGTTCAGCACTGGCAATTTCATATACAGGGGTTTAATAGTGAGATTTTAACAGAAAAACGAATTATTTGCATCACAAGCACGTATAGCGTTACAAGAATGTCATTACACCTACCAAGGTAGCCTTCACGTAACTGAAAAGTAGCCGCAGCCGCAGCGCAGGCACGGATCTGCACCTCGTGACTCCACGGTGTGTTTCTGAGAACCGACAGCAGCTGAACCCGTTTCAAAGTCGGTCGCAAGTTCCTGTTTAATGTGCCAAACATCCCGGCCATAACCAGTTCTTTAATCAATCGAATTGAATACACCCCAAATGCGAGATAATGTTTCCCTACGTCTTCCAGCACGAAATCACCATGCACAACCGACCAACCCGAAGGAAAACTGTTTCTTGCGCTTTAGCACTTCACTTGCACAGAAACATTCATCTCATAAAAAAAAGCTCAGTACGAATAGCAAGTATGAGATTAATTATTAAACAAGGCATGTGAGACCAGGCAAATATACAGGCCTAGGCAACTCAGACCGTAGTAACTCTTAGTAGTTCCCCAAGAATAAAACCCCTCCTGTTTTCAGAGGTCAAACTCATGCAAACTTCCCCAGTACTGAGCTGCTACCCCCAGATAGATCTGCAAACACGGAGACGTTGGAGTTACTCACACAGATAAAACTTTGAGTCAGAGTACAATTTAACAATGAAAATGTTTTAAGTAAGAAGTCCCCCCCCCTCAATACATACAGTGCAGAACAGGAATAAAATGGTCAGTCAACAGGTCAAGGCACCATTAAATAAACACCACAAATCAATTAATCACATCAACCAAATATAAGAGGGCCTTGCCTCCCTGTGCATAAAACCATTCACACACTGTTCACACCATAAAATTGACTAAACCCTATTGGAAACAATACAATAAATAGGGAACATAATGCTAGGTAACCCTCTTAACATAAAAGCAAACAAGGCAAAACGTTGCATAAGCAAAGCACCACATAAGCAAAGCAGCAGCAGCTATCACCCCTGCAACACGTAAAGCCACTGTTAAGGAATAGCATAGAAACGATCAAAACAATTAAAACCAACAATGCTACATGTTATCTTGGCTGCACGTCACCCTAGCACAGCATGGGCAATGGACGCCAACTTCTACTGGATCACGCTCGCATCAATTATCGCTCCTGGAGAGCATGCGG